TTTTTGCTGAAAATGGAGGCCTATGGAGGTTGAGATTGGTTCAGACTCAACCATAAAGTAAATATGCATGCAGATAATAAGCTATAAAACCCAATAATGAGCCTTTAAGAGCTCTGTAAGTTTGTTCATATCGATGAACCCCCTGAAAATGATGTACCTTGCACTCAGCAGCCCCCAAGTGATACTTATAGCTGTTTGTTACTGAACCAAATTGTGTTGTTGGCCCATAGCCATATTAAATTATACCACTTTATTATTTTTTAAATTTCTTTGTCCCTACATGTTCAACCATAGAGAATAATTGTTAATAATGTGTATCTGTGCAGTGTATAATAATAACCTCTGTCATATCCCTCCATACAGGATGACAGTTTGCTGCCCAAAGGAGACATAGCAGATCAGTTTAAGCCTGTGGTGCCATGGCCTCATGTGGAGGGGGTCGAGGTTGACCTCAACTCCATCAGACTCCAACATGGTGAGACACAGTTCCATTTATAAGCATTCCATTAAGTAACTGCTCTGACATTCTCTTGAAATGACAGTGGCTGAAGCAGGCACCACTGTAAAGGCAACCTGCCATTCAACAGGTCTTTATACTTCATACAAAAGCAAATGTGTTGATGGTGTGGTCATCACAAATTCAATCAGGCCCCAACCAGAAAGCCAGGAGGAATGGAGAAGTGAGGCCCAATCCAGAGCCAAAAAAAGCAGCCTTTTACTCATGTGACAAGGAAGCATAGAGCTCCTCCAGAGCAAGACTGAAAGGACACAAAGTGCAGACACCAGTAGAGACTGGAGAAAGACTTCAACACCTCTTGGGTGGTGTTAACCAAATATATGTGGCAGGCAATCCAGAGCTAGGCCTCCCCAATTATGTGTGAGACCACGCTAACAGATGAGCCAAACACATTTTATGCTCGCTTTGATCTCCTCAACAAAGAGTCCACTGTAGAGTCTACTCTGCCTGCAGAGCACCAGCCACTGCCAGTATCCACAGTGAATGTGAGAAGAATCCTGCTAAGAGGGAATATGAGTAACGCTGCTGGGCCTGATAACATCCTTTGCTATGTACTAAAAACATGTCCCAATTATCTAGTTGATTCTTTTTATCAACTAGCTTATTCTGTCGATTATTCCATCGAAGTAAAGCACCTGCTCCTTTGTCCACCGCTGTTTAGCACACCCGCAGCCTAACTGCACCTGTTTGTTACCAATCAAGCCTTCCTGTTTAAGAAAGGTGGAGTGTAGTGGATTTGCTGTGAAAGTCTTTCCTGGTGTGTGAGGGGTCGTTTCGTTACCTTAGTCAGGTTGCAGTATGCCCTGTTTGCTGCCACAGAAAAGAAATAAGAAGTCCCCATGTCTGTAATGATACAAAACACACTGCACTGTATATCTGTATATAGTTACTATGCTTTAAATTAAGTTTAATTTAGATAGATTTTAAGTAATCGAGTCCGTTGAGGAATCATTTTAGTCCAAGTCTGGTCTAAATGACTACCGCTCTGTAGCACTCACCTCAACAAAACATGTTAAAAACAGTTTTTGGGTCATCTTTTGGAATCTGCTTATCATCTCCAGGAGAGGCCAACCATCCCCAGAACCCTGACCAGCAGCCCAACCAGAACAAGGTGATCCAGCAGCAGTATGTGACATTCAGACCCGACACTCACGCCTACTCCAGCCCCATCCTGAAGAAAGGTATTCTGGGGAACTTTGAGCCTAAAGAACCTGAGCCTCCAGGGGTCCCTAGTGGTCCTGGAGAAGGGGCAAAGCCTTTTATCCTGGGTCCAGAATACAAAGATGCCGTCCAGGCTTCCATCAAAGAGTTTGGCTTCAACATGGTGGCCAGTGACATGATCTCACTGGACAGAACCATCAGTGATATTCGTCATGAAGAGTGAGTTCACACTGACTGCAAATTTGATACATTTTTTACTTATTGAACTGTTTGTTAAAACTGATACCACCCTTGATTTATGTCACCTTCCCAAATCCTACATCAAATAATACATGGCCAATCAAATAAAAGCAAACATAATACAAGAATAAATATCACCTCTGCTTGTTTAGCAGCCAGCCTGGATATGACATTGAGTTTAAATAAGTTATATTAGAGATGACCGTTTCAGTCAAAGACCAGAGGAAGAATCCATAATGCTTTTCCAATTAAAGTAATATGTCTGCAAATACATACACACACCCGCCTGATTGTTTGTCTAATATATCCGTCACCAACCAGCCCAAAAACCTGATGATTAACTTGTCTTTTAAGCAAACACACACACACACACACACACACACACACACACAGAAGCCACTAGGGTGTGCCTTATACACACCCCATTGAACAAGCTGCCTTTAACCAGTCTAACAGATGCAGGTTACACAGGTCTGTTGAGCCAGTTCTTACGTTGCCACATTTTGGATGCACCTTATTTGGCATCAGTTCACAACTACTTTTTATAAGCTCTCATGTAATTTGTCAGCTCAAAGGAATCCACTGTTTTTTTCAAGCAATATATTTAACTATTGCCTCAAAGGTAACATCCAGCATGAAACACAGAAGATACATTAACATCCAGCTAAAAGGACAATTGGATTGGATTTTTATTACTTTAGATGTGTGGAGAAACATACTTCACACCCTCTACAGACAAACAGCAGTGTATATGTTGTATTTCAGGCAATAAAATGCTAAGAATCCACAAGTGAATGAAACTAGAAACTAGTATAATCTACAGGACAAGTCAGATACCTATTCATTATCCCTGTAGAGGAGGAGATGTGTATTTAAGGGTGGGTCCATATTTGTGGTGCCTTAACAAAATTGTTTATGTGGATTTTGCTGTCATTATGTTTCATAGTATCGTCAACAGTGTGTTGAAATACATGTACTGACAGCTGAGTTTTATAAGGGCAGACAGTAAATCCCCTGTGTATCAGTATTCTGTCACAGCCCCACTTACTGTAATGTGTTAGGCAGGATTTTACAGCTCTGGAAGTCATCACAGCAGCAATTATTTTATCTGTTTGCAGGATGGTTTATTGATGAATAGTAGATATACAATACTCATGCTACACAGGAATTTACCAGGAATGTGTGCTTGCATGTATTTGCCCACCAATGCGCCATGTCATCTGGCATAATTTGAACCAGGTTCAACTTTTTTTACTGGGGCACCTTGCACATTTTTGTGGGAGCTGTCTTCATTGGCACCTCTGCTGTTTTTTTACCCAGAGCTAAACTTGGTCTGAACCACCTATAGACTGGTAGTTGGGGTTGGATGATCGGCCAATCATGGTTTCTCAAGGTCGCTGATAGGCGAGCCGATCGCCAGGAGTTGTGGGGATTTGTGTCTTAGCACTCCAGTAAAATATCAGCATGGACAATGTCTCCTATGGGCTAGGCTCGTCTGTGTTGAAGAAAACCACATTTTGAAGTTTGGGGTTTGAATTAGGTTAACAGATAAAAGCTACAGAGGCTCAGGTATGTAGTTAGGTAGCTAGTTAGCTAGTGTTATGCTAACATTAGCTATCAGATATAACTAGCTTACTGATGATTAATGTGGATTAGTTTGTTGTTCTGTAGCAAAACGCTAGCTTTTTGCTACCTAACTATCTAGCTAACAATTGACTGACTTCAAAATTTGGTTGTTTTCAACATAGATTAGCCTAG